GAAAATGCTGTAATCTTAGGATTTATTAGAAATAACGTAATATATCCCTCTTATTCCCTTCCTGACAACAAAATTCATTGCCATTTCCTTCTAAATTTCATTTCCTTGCTTTTTATTTCCTAATTTTCCTTGCAAATTTTCTTAATTGCAAATGGAAGCACTGCTTCGTGGTATGCGCGAGGAGCACACCGCAGCTTCGAAATGCGTGAAAAAATGGCGACGATATAATGTAAAAATTACATAATTTGAAGGCCAATTTTTGGCAAAACTGCAGGTGTTATCGATTACAACATTTTGTTATTCGACCTTATAAGCTTTTAAGCAACATTTGCACCCGTCAAATTGTTGTCTCTGTGTGGGGGAAACGAAAAGTCAAAATCTGCTGAGTGGCTGATGGCCTAATACTCGATTATATTACTTGTGGCTATTATGATCGGCGGCAAACTTCGAAATTAATTTTGAACAATTTTATTCGTTACACCATACTAAGGGCGCAAAATAAAATCAGTATACGGATGTATATTGCCTGATATTTAGCATTAACTTTACTACAACTGGTTAAAAATTAAGCAAAGATTGCTTAAACATTGCTTAAAAATAGTTATAAATTCCAACTCCTGTGAATAACGCACGAATTTCGAACTGCAGTTCCGGTAAAAGGGCAACCTGTTGCCCCCGTGCTGCCCCCGCACTGTTTGGGCAACAGGGGCAGCTGCCCCCGCTGCCCCGTGGCTCCGGCGCCCCTGGTTATAGCCTCTTCGACCTCGGCAGGCATTTTAATTAGTCTATTAGGAGATCGGAAAAAATAGTAAATTATAGGTGATTATATTAGTTTTTTTAAACCATCATCCTAACCCTATAGCCGTGTCTGCGGAGTAAGCCAGGTAACGCTATCTGACTTGGTCGAACTGTTTCCTTTGATTCTGTAGGTACAAATTTATTGATAAATCAGTATGAAGAATGGACTTTTTGTAGCTACATGAGGGATGAGAGAACCAGTGTTTAGCCAAATCAAACAGGAAACACAAACACTCTCAAGATTGAGGAGATTTCAGTTTTAGAGTAACGTATTCAGATATTATTATGTTTTAATTGACTTTCCTTTAAATATATGGCAGCCGCTTTATAGTTATACGTATACGATTGTCTATATAGCTTACACGACTCATTCAACGGATTGTTAGTATCCATAGAATATACATATATACCTATCCATATGTTGGCGATGATAATTAGAAATACGCCAATTTTCTATAAAATTTATCATAACTATAACGTACCTCTTAGCACATCTCAAAGTCCGTACCAAACCAGACAGAAAACACTCGCTAAATAATATCTATTTAATTCTGAAATGATAATTTGCCCTTCAAAAACTCATAACGACATATAAGATTAACTTAATGCAATTAAATAGTGTTAAGTCAAACGTTCAACGGGTTGCCGAAACAGCAGACTCCTTCGCCGTTTCAAGATAACAATACTCCACCATAAATTCTGACACATCTCATTAATTAAAGTCCCGAATTAAAGTCTCGCGTGTGTACTGTCAACAAGTTTTCCTTGACAAGTTTACTTTCTCGAGTGTACGGTAGACAGTTTTCCTTGATAAGTTTCCCTTGACAAGTTAAACTTTCGATTCTCGAGCTTACGGTAAAAAGTTTTCCTTGACAAGTTTCCTTAACAAATTTACTTTCTCGTGTAAACACATTTTCCTTGACAAATTTCTCGAGTTTGCGGTAGAAAGTTTTCCTTGACAAGTTTTCCTTGACAAATTTGCCGGGACAAGTTCTGCTGCTACGCGGATTGTTAAATTAAATGCTTTCATCTCTCGTCAAGGCCACCTTTTGTTTGCTAAAGCCACTGAAGTATTTTTTGCACACTATATACAGTCAAGTTTTCCTTGTCTTCCTTGGCAACCGTACACACGAACAAATTTTCTTACGAAAAAAAGTTTCGAAAAAAAGTCTTACTGTGGTCTATATATTGAACACAAAATATATTATTAACATGAGACTTGGGTAATAGTTTTGTTTGTGGAAACACCACGTAATTAATTTATTACAGTAATAAATTTACGTGGTGTTTCCACAAACAAAACTATTATATGTTTTATCGCCATGCAAACGTACAAATAACTTATTGTAGTAAGTTTGTCAACAAGTAGTAACAACCCTGTTATTATATCAAGTTGCTACAAGGTTGTCACTCACAACTTGTTGGAACAACTTGTAACAAATCTGGTAACTCGACGACCTTGTAGCGAGTTGTCAACGAGCTCCGTTGACAACTTGTCAACAAGCTGGGAAGAAGCAGTGCGAATACATCCTTTTGACAAGTTGTTGGAATAGCATTGCTACAAGTCTGTTTCAGGTTTGTTACAACTTGTTCGTTTTTACATGTACAGTCTCAACCAGACTTACCTATCACGTGCATTTTCGTAAACACGTTTATGCATGTCCACGGCTATACACGCGCAAAAATCTCACAGCTTGTCAACAACATGTGTCCTTGCTTGTCCCCAGTTGTTGAAAAGTCTGGAACAAATTGTTATCATCTTGTTACTAGGTTGATGAGGCCAACAGACTCGCGACAAGTTGTCGCAACCAGTCTGATATCGTTTGTACGCAACAAGTTCATGGCAACAAGCTCGCAGTAACTTGTTACGAACAGCCTGTATTAGTTTTGTTGGAACTTGTATCAAGTCTGTCACAGTAAATCAACCTTGTAACAAGGTGATAACAACTTGTTTCAAACTTATCACAACAACTGGAAACAAGCAGTGCGAACATATCGGCTGAACAACAACCTTGTGACAACAACCTTGTTACAACTTATTAGCAGATCTGTAACAACGTACTTGCGCGTTTTTACGTACTAGTTAAGGCTGGGATTACACTATACCGCATTGATTTTCATACCGGATCAGTTTTCACACCGAAGCCAAAATCAAGGGTGTTTACACTATGCCGCTTCGCTCTGTTGCCAGCTCGTATCTTTTGTCGTTGCCACGGAAACAAATAATAAGTTTTGACCATTTTGGACGTTTTCTCGACATTACTTGTGAATTATAACTTTGTTTACAAAGCTTGACCACCCGACGTTGCTTTGTCTCGCTCTTATCGAAAATTGACGAGTATTTCATTAAATTTTGCCCTTTTGAAAGCAAGAAGTCAATGTTATTACCACTATCTTTATTTGTCTTCTTGCTTTCAAAAGTAATAAATAATTGTAAAGCGAAGCAAACAACAGCTATAAAAT